TATATATATACTGTATATACATGGATATGCCACGTAGAACAAGTGATTAAGTTCACTTATTGGCATATCCTTGGCGCTCGTGCCTAAAGAAATGAAATAAGTGCTTGTATCAATAAAGATATATTTTAATGTAATATTTAACGCAGAGGCTTCTCACAAGGCACAGCCTTGGTATCGTAAAGCCTCTGAAACAAACAAAATATACATTTTAAGACAATGAACAAAGCACTGCCTATAGTAATAACAAGGGAAAACAAAAGAAATAGGATTACAATCAAATCAATAATAAACTCGTATACAAATTTAGGTATAAGAATATGGTACAAATCTGATTAAAAAAATCACGTAGGCCTAGGCCTATAAAACATAGTATAGTACAAAATTGTTCTTTTTTTAGAATTGCACATAAACTGATACACGTGTCATACTTAACAAATTAGACATCATAAGCCTTAACAGAACATAGTCTCTATATAAATAACAAACATAATGATAAATGGATAAAACTTATCTATTGGCGCAGGTTTTCCACTCTGGTTACTGAATGTGTGATCCATTTGCTATACTTAGATATCATACTCCAGTGTGCAGTGTTGACGGGCTGTGAAATGGTTCACCCTATGTTTTCCAGCCCTATGTGGAAGCATTCCATGGAATATAAGTACCTCCCTGCCCCCACCCACCCTTCCAACTTCTCACCTAGAAATGATTTCCAGCCCTTGTTTGGGGTGAATTCAATTAAAAAAGTACATTATTTACAAAATATTAAAGGTAGTCGGTGAATAACAGTTCATTTCCTTCGTTCTGTTTTAAAGTCGAGAGTTGATTTTATATAAATGATAAATTTGCCTCTGACTCGTCTTCAGCGTCCGAATGCTCGCTACTAGGCTCATCAAGACTAGCCGGTCTACTTACATTAAGGCCGGTGCTTAGACTAAAAAAACTTGTACTACGTTGTCGCGGTTTTGGCGTCTCAATCATAGTGTCCTGCTTTGGAGCGCTTAATTTCCTCCGCCGTGCAAATATCGGTGGGGTGGTCAACTTCTTTTTACATTTATAATCGATGTAAAGTTTCTCAAATGCATTATGCACATCCTCGAACGATTCGCATACTGATAATTCATTGAACCCACAACCTAAAGCATTCGCAAGCTGTTCTCCTTCGCTTCTATCCACGAGTCTATCTCTTTCTAAATCAGATTTATTTCCTATGATCAATATTGCTGGGTCGTGTGCTGCGTTTTTCCGAGCTCGTGTGATTAAGAATTTAGAGCGCATTACTTCGTTAAAACTACATCTATCATTGATAGAGTACACAATGATATAAGCGTCTGCCCATTTGATCTTGTCTTCTGTCTTGTTCTCCTTGAATAGAACAGACGAATATTAATTTTTTAATATGATTTTTTTTGAAAAAAATCTAAACAAAAAACGTGAAGCTAAAACACCTCAAAGCCTAAAACTGTCTAAAACAATCAAACACCGCCCTCTATATTCTTGAAAAATATTTAGTTTCGTAACTCTATATTACATTTTTTTCCCTTGGTAAGTTTCGGCTGCAAGCCTTGACCAAAATGGCGTTAAGCAAGGTGCATTGACTTTTGTTTTGGTTCAACAAAAGGAAACATTTAAGATACCGCCCTCTATAGTTACAGTATTTTGTCAAAAAATGGAAGAATTATCGAGAGAAAATACATAATAAAACATAGACCTATGTGGGCCCACATGACTGAATCATCAAATTCGTGATTAGCTTGTAAATTTGCCTACCTAATAAAATAGGCATGACTAATAATTTATACAAGATAATGTCAAGTGATAGCTATAATACCGTTCATGCAAAGTCAACTTGCTTTGACAAAACTATAATAGGACATGCCAAAGCAATAATTGATGCACTACATACGTCTCAAAATTAACATTCGGTATGCAATAGTTTGGCTGAAAAACTAGGACTTTGCAAATTAATAATTAATTGTCAGGTAAATGTCAATTAACAAAACATTTAATGAAATAAATGTCTCTGATTTATTATATATAAATCGAATTGCAAACACAAAACAATGTCCAGGATACACAGGTCTACTTACGTATATGCGATAATTACATGTTTATTGTATCATCACATTCTCGGTTACAACATGTTATCATAAATTATACAGAACGTCTATAACCGAAAGTATTCACTTGTTTATTAAAAGATATAGAAGTAGTCATAGGTCACGTTAATACAAGTGGACGCATCACTAAACACAATAATTTCCTGGCATCTTACTTAAAGTGATACCGGCAATTTTCATATATAAATTGATGTTATGGGTTTTATTCCTATACTCTTTAAAAAGTAAATATCCGTCTTATTGTAGGCTGATCCAGGGAGGTAATTCGAGTTCATAATCATAAGCATTATAATCAATCATTGGTAGATTTAACGTTGAGGAATGTAAGTTAATATTTCGACTTACCTGGCCTGCGGTGTCCAATATTTCAAAATCAACCGGTGTCATTTCGCTAGCGAAGAATGTCCTGTGTCTGTACGTCATTTCTGTTGACAATAAAAATAGCAAGACTAAAAGTCTTAAAAATCATAGGTAAAGTCACATATGTTGCTACCAGGTATTATGTATAAAAACAACCACAAGAATAATGATTAAAATATTTTAGTAACGGTCTCTGCTAGGAAACACGAATTGTTTATTTGTATATTTCAAATAGTCACTAATAGCTTCAATAGACCTTCCCAGAATGTCAATCAAACTTACAAATGACTAATCAGAATTGCGCTAGGAATACGTGCACGTCTAACAAACACACGAGTTGTCCCAAAAAAACGCGCGTGTTCGCGTATGTTTTATGTTTTACGTTTTAACACTAGCATGGTTCTCACGAGAGACCTAGTACCGGATCGGGAGCTAACCGTTAGCACCTGTGTGAGAACGCAAGATCGGTTAGTGCTAACCGTTAGCGGTATCCGGATACCTAGCAAGCGCTATCGGTTAGCACGTTGAGCGCCTTCTATCATCAACCAAACACACGTACGCGTTTACAATTTCCAGTTTCTTATTGGCCAGTTGTTCGATCATCATATTCTTGGTATCCGGATCGGGATCTTCTCGTATGGACGCACGGTAGCTATCAGTTAGCAGGATCCGGATCCTGCTAACTGTTAGCTGCCGTGTGAGAACATAGCCACTGTCGTCGTGTGGGACCATAACAATAATATCCAAGGGACAGGGCTTAGCGGAAACGTCCACTAAAAATTAGAACATGAACTTTTTTTGCAATTAGCATATTATGCGCATAAATAACCCGTTTTATATGCGTCCTCATGGAGGTATAGCTTTTAGGTCGCAATCCATTTCTGCAAGCAAATTTGTTTACGACTTAGTTGAAAAATGCCTATAAATCATTTAAAATCTTCTTTTTTCGATCGGTGATTTAAGCAAACTACATGGTGATTACAATTAATGATCAATTCAACGTTATATTTTAATTTTTAGGATTTTTCTTAATATATTGGTGGCTGTATATTTTTAATTTCAGTTCTAAAAAGTGGTTTTCAGATTTTACAATAGAAGCAGGTTTATTTGTTAAAGATCTGAAAGAACGTTCATATTTAGCATTTAGCAACATATTTAGGTCATTAGGTCTATACTGTAATTAACAAACCACATCGGATAATATACAATTAGACCTTTGAACACCATGTTATGTATCCAATAAGTATGCAATACTTTATAAGTTTACCTGCGTATCTATAAATATCGATAATCATTTAATCATAGACCTTCCATTTACTCGTACATTCGCTGAACATTTAATCAAATTTAATTCCTTTTCTGTTTTGTTCATTTTTGGATCCACCTTTAGTATTGTCTGGTGTGTGCCAATGTTGCAAAAGTGATATCCAAATAAATATTGTATTGTTGCACAAGGCAAGGCAAGACAATCTGAAGCATCAAAATAACTGGGTAATATCGAACTAAGTAAATGGTCACTTCCCGACAGCATATAGGAAATAGGAAACATTCTTTTAAGCGTAAAGTTCGAACAGATAATGGGAAAAATAAAACTCACCTAAAGTTGGATCATATTCCCAAATAAACCGCCTCGTTATAAATCTGACCGTCAGTGCTAAAATAAAAATAAAAATAGCATTTTCTAAATTTAATTTAATGACGTAATACCTACGTAATATATATATATGTATGTATGTATATATAGTATCTGTCTCTTATACACATCTAGATGTGTATAAGAGACAGGTACCAACGTTTCATCCTCTTCATTATTATTATAATTATCGTACCGTCACTGTCATTAACTTTATCATTATCATCTTCATCATTATTACCTTTAACATTATCATTATTTAACATTAATGATAAACAGCATAGCGCTTTTATTGATATTTTCCACATAATTCTATCTCAAATATAACACTTTCGACAATATAGATAATCCAATAGGCCTAGTATGTGTCAATGTCCGAGCAGTTATTGTTCCGCAGGAGAGAGCATTTATTTGTTGCTAAGACGTGGATTTCAGAGAGAAAAATAAGAAAACCTGGCTTGATTAGTTACAGTAATTTAATTTTCTATTTTCTCATCGATAAGCCTGTCTGAAGAGGACCACTCTAACTCTATCAATAATGAACCTATATAAAGTTTTATTCGTATTTCGTATTTCAACATTGCTGCCGAGAAATTATTATGTCTATGACAACGATTGATCGACTAACATTAGAAGCACGTCAAGTAAGGAATGGATGTGGAGTTCGCTTTAAAATACAGTACATCACAGTGTGATGTAATTTTCTGGGATTAATCAGTAGAGAACGGATATTGCTGCTCAATGTAACTCAAGCTGAGTTTACACACTCAGTGACTATTAAAATACTGAACGACACAGGAATATATCCATTATGAAGGAATTTTTCCTTAGGCACGATTAAAGCTATACCTATACACCAACGTACCTGATTTAAAATACATTTCTTAAGGTACAGATTATTTGTGGTCCCACTGGAAGAGGGGAGAGGTTTAGGAGACCATGACCCCCTTAGAAACCAGTCACATTTTGTCGGGAATAAAAATAAATACCGGAACCGTTTCTTGAGTGTTGACAATGACACGCTAATAACATCCCCTGTGTGGAACATCAGTCTTGCTCTCTCTGACTAAGTTTTAAGTTATCTGTGCATCGGTCTGTATCTGTCCTCATATGATTTAAAAATTTAGAAACAACCCACATAAATTATTTAAAACAATCATCGGCACTAAACTCTGAATAACAAATAGGTAGCCTATATTATATCTTTTTTTGTATTTTTAAGCAGAATACAATTATTATTACACTACAAAATATGGAAATTATGGAAAATATGGAGTAGCCGCAATATACTAAATCCCCAAGCCCACTGAATAGGCGTCCCCAGCCCACAGACCTCCCGTCAGGGTCTTTCAGCCTCCCGTCTGGAAATTCCTGGTACCACCACTGTTCCACATTTCTAATCGCATACCTCACTGACATTGCGGTCATAAAACATCTTTATACACGTGGAAGTTTTTTTTTTCAAATTATTTTTTATGTTGTTTGAAATATAGATCTACATTATGATCTAACATTTTGCTATGATTTAATATACTCTAGACACTCATTTCGATAACCTTAATCTATTCTGAATAACAGATGTAATTCAAAGCTTAGTTGAAATACTTCCATTAATCCATTTAAAATAGTCGAATGTTTGGATGAAATACAGACATATTCGTTACAATGATATGAAAAAAAAATGTTGCGATAATGGCCGTGGCACAGAATCGTAATGTAATTTCCTAAGCTGTTGAGATATGATATTTAGTGATGCATAACTTCCGTTGATAAGTAAACCAGATAAATTGGAATCTTTAATTCTGGATATGAATTCGTACAGACCAAAGTGAATTAAGTGTTCAAGTCATCGCCTAATATAATAATATGGAGTGAGGTCTTACAATTACCAACATTATGGGTATTTCTGCACAGAATGATATTATCTCTTGTAGTTTTGTGAATATGACCATTCCATGTGTCATTGTTCGTTTTTGGGTGTAATACGTGGTTCTGGGTTAGTCATTACAATACAAATTTGTAAAATCTAACAAACTGAGCGAAAATATTAGGCCTAAGCTATATTGTCTTTGTAATAGCATTCTACTCGTATAATTTATTAAATGGGTCTTTACTGCGTGTCAATCACAATTATTGACCAATGATGAGAATGTGTTACTGGAGGGCCAGAAATACACGAATGTCCCACAAACACTAAAGGTTACGTGCGTTTATTTTGTCGTTTTGTGGTATCTTAGCAACAATGTCCAAAAGGCGGGGCTTAGTACCGTATGAGAGTCCAATATTAATTGAAACGAAAATACTGGTCCAAGTGTAAAATGACAGTACAGTAATTTGTCTGAAATGTTTAATAATTTTGTTTGCTCCGAAAATTCTTAAACGCAGGCCTAAACCCACTGATCTCTACTATTATAATGGCCTAAACCATTGCTAAAACCCCGGCACTCACTGAGGCCGACGGTTGTCGGCAGACGCGATTCTATGGAGTACGACGCACGCGCAGCATATTGTCCAACAGGGTTGGATTAGTCGGCCGACGGTCGTACGTACGACGCAGTGAGTGTACGGCTTTATAGACATTCTGAAAGTGGAGACCTTACAAAGCTAACAATTCATCTCGATGCTGATCATTATTCACGCTTAGCCAAATCACTTCTGAAGTTTAACGATGGCCACTTTGGATAATATCCATAAGAAAATCATTCATTGTAAATCATGTGTTAATACCAGGACAATATCAATTCGTTTGTGCAGAATATACTTATGACAATAAGAAGGATTGTATTAAGTCGACTTATGAATGAGTGTAGAAATAGTGACCTTCGTACACAAGTACTCTAATTATCGCGTATTTCTTACTGAAACATACTTGATTAATGTACTTATGATAAATACAGAACAATTAAGACAAGGGCACAGCAAGAACAAACCTAACAGCTACCGTATAACATACAACCATAACAGCAACAACCTCAACAATAATATTAATGAAAAATAAATAATAATAATAGTATTCATATTTGGGCCTAACATTCATAATAATATTCATAATAATATTCATAATAATATTCATAATAATAATAATAATAATAATAATAATAATAAAATAATAATAATAACAATATTATCAATAATAACAACAATAACGCTAAAATGTGTCCTATAATGGTCACATAATAGTGTATGTGCATTTCAATAACCTTCAGTTTAACATAGGCGCCGAATAACGAGGCTAATATAAAACTAATACTCATTTGCCACTCCCCACCCCCCTCCACACTTAGCAAAACACGCACAATTTTAATATACCCAAGCCGATTCCAAGCGATTAAGGAAGGGGTGCCGCAACCTAGCGCACGCACAACTCAGTACACTAACACACTATAAATAACCCAATACCGGTACATCTTTAAAGGCGAGTAAGGGGTTACCCTGGTTTTTAAACAGCCAATGTATTGAACAAAAAGGAGTAGGTACCCGTTTACCGGACCGGATTGCTCAGAACGAAGTGACCCAGGAGAGCTTAGAGTCGTCGTGTCGAGAGAGATTATATATCATGCAACCCAGTAAGAAAACTGGCAGAAATCTTCTTTCAGTAAGTCATGTTTTTTTCAGCGCCGTTGGTGTAGCTAATATTATTCTTGGTGTTTGAATGGTCGGAAATAGGATATAAGAATAATGTGATGATTTAAAAGGCCATAACAACGAAGATAGAAGGAGAAATTCCTCTGTATGAATACTGTCATTAGCACAAGGCGAAATCACGTTAGACTTCTAAGTGTTTTGTCACTCATGCATCATTATTATATTACATTATTAGCTGTTATTTCACGCAGACCTATTATTATAAGGATGAACAGATGTAAAAGCCAGAACAATAGTTATAGTGGCATTCTGTGATAACTGTAAATCAAGCTTGATGATGGGCTATTCGTTGACCCCTGCCTCATTAATGGACATTATCGCCATATAAGTTGACGTCAAAACTCATACGTGGTTGACCAAATCATAAACATCCTGGATGAGCTCTTGTCCTCTATGATTGACAGTGATACAGCCATCTTTTTACGACCATAAATAAAAGGGGACTCATGCAATACCAACTTGAGAAGGAGAATGTCATTTATTATTATTATTATTATTATTATTATTATTATTATTATTATTATTATTATTATTATTATTATTATTACTATTACTATTATTAATATTATTATACTATCATATCCAGTTACATCATTATTTTGAAAAAAGAAATGTTATATGTTTATCAGTGCATATGGGTGGGCGTTATACATTTATTTGATATTTTGGTCTACAATAGGCCTATTCATTAGGGAACAGGTATGCTATAAGGAATGATAAGACATTTGATTTGTACCATTACCAAATTTCTCAGAACAATAATATTATTTTTTTTTTTTAATTTTCCATCTAACACATTTAATCACCCTAGATACTAAATATTCTTGCAAATGTATATTCTGTTTGTTATACCGGTAAGTTTATTTTGTTTAAATCGTGTGGATAGTATAAGCTTCTGGTATTAACATGGCATAATACCGTACTAATCATTAGGAGTTTCAGAAATCTATCACACATTTAATCATCATCATCCTAGATACTAAATATGTTAAACCTTGCAAATGTATATTCTATTAATGTATGCGTACGTTCTTTTGGTTGGATAGATAGGACAATATTAAGAAGTATTGCAAAATCTTGGAAGTGTCATCCACTATTATAATCCATAGGCCTTTATAATTTATAATTCTATTTCAAGCCAACTGAGCCAGTAAACTATGAGGCTAAAACCTTATGTAACGTTACGTTTATTTGGTTCAAATCGTGTGGATAGGATAGGACAATATTAAAAAGTATTGTGGAATCTTGAAAGTGTCATCCACTATTATAATCCATAGACCTTTATAATCTATTTCAAGCCAACTGAGTCGGTAAAATATATTGTGACTTATATATATATATATTGACATTAGCATAAACAGAATAGGTGGCTTCGA